CCCCACCGGCTGCCTATGTGGAGGCGCAGGGCAGCGGCGGGCGCGTGCTGTACTGCCCATCGGTGCGCCGCCTGCTGGCAGCCCGCACCTGCCGCTGCTGCTGCCGTGCCTGCGGGCTGCCCCTGTGCCTGCGTGCCTGCCTGACTGGCCTCCCCTGGCCGCTGCCCGGGCCTGCCTGCCTGCCTGCCTCCTGCCTGCCTGCCTCTTGCCACACCCCGGCGACCCTCAGCCCTGGTGCACCACCCGCGCTGCCTGCCTGCCTGCCTGCCTGCAGGGCGAGTCCCACGCCCTGCCCAACGGCACCACCATTGCTGCGGGGGACACCGACCTGGTCACCCAGATCTGCAGCCAGTACTGCTCCGATGACGGCACGGACGCCGGCAGCGCCGAGGGCTCGGATGGCGGCACGACCGCGCCCGGGGGCGGCAGCACCACACCCTCCCCCTCCCCCTCGGATAGCGGCACCACGCCGTCCCCCTCCCCCGCCGCCACCCCCACCCCAGTGGGCACCGGCAGCAGCAGTGATGGGGTGCTGCTGTAGCGCCTGGGCAGCCGGGGTGCAGCGCCCGCCGGCTATCCCCGGCTTGCTTGGGCGGGGGCTTTGTTGGCCTGGGTTTGTTCATTCTTTTAGTTACCTGGCCTATTTGTCCTCACTTGCCCCTCCCCTGCTCTCTCTTCTGCCCTGCCCATACCTCTCAACAGCATCGAGGGCTTTTTTCTTCTTTGTACATCTCTTGTTAAATGCATGCCAAATAAGCAATGGAAACGCTCAACGCACGCAGTCAGGAAAAAATATTTGGGAAGAATGGGAGAAGGTATTTGCCAAGGTCTGATGCATGTAGGGGGAAGGGTGGTACTCAAAACTGTGAACAAATGCTGGCGGTTGAAACGCTCAAAGTCGGTCACTCCTGACTGCTGTCTAGACAGCTGTGTTTGGCCTGAGGCAGCTGCAGCAATTCGCTGGGCTGGCCAGGCCTGTGGCAGCTGCCACCCTCGTCAGTCAAGCCGCCACAAGCCCCATCAGCTGCTGCCGCTGCCTCGACGTCTGCATCGTCGCTCGCCGCTGCCGCTGCTTCGTCGCCTGCAGCAGCCGCTGCACGCGCCGTCGCTCGCTTGCTGTCCCGCCACTGGAGCCACATGTACACGGTCACCGCTGCCACCGTGATGGCTGAGCCCGCGATCTGCAGGCAGGGCCAAACAGAAGCAATGCCGCTTGCCACCCATGCCGCTTGCCAGCCTGCTTGTGCCGCCGCTCTGTGCATGCCCTCTGGCGGACGCTGGGCAGGCTGCTGCCCGGCATATCCATTCCTGCTCACCTGCACGCCCGTTTTGATGATTGTGTAATCCAGCAGGAGCTGGGACTCGATGATGGAGGAGATGAGGCGCAGCCCGTAGAACATGCTCACGGTGGGGGCGCCCAGCTGCCAGGTGGAGTGCTGCAGCAGGGAGGCCGGCGGCACATCCCGACGCCGCATCACCCGCCTGGCGCGCTGGGCAGGGCGAGCATGGCAGCGCAGCCGGCGGCAGCCTGGCTGGATTGTTCCCAGGGCGGAGCGGCGGGCACCTGGATGGCATAGTTGGCTCCCACGCAGACGACAGATGAGGTGAGGGCCAGCACCGCCCAGTCGCTGGCGCCCCAGCCGCCAAACTGGCGGGACCAGTCGGTGCCGTTGATGGGCAGAGACAGCGGCAGCAGCACCAGGATGCAGAAGCCGAGGTAGCAGTACTGCAAACATGTGGGTGGGTGGGGGGTGGGGGCGGGGGGGGAGTCGAGGCATGTCAGTAGGGAGAGGCTCGAGGCACAAAGGGGGTGCAGGCATGCGGGCAGGTGGTTCACAGCAACAGAGAGATCGAACCGAGGCACACAGGGATGCATGTATGCGGGGAGGTGGTGCTGTTGGCACAAGCGTGGCTGCAAGGCGCACCTGCAGCTGCAGGCTGGTGAACCCCAGGCGGCGGAAGGCTTGCAGGCTGACAAAGTAGGCGACCGTGCACAGCATGGAGCACACCGACAGCCCAAACCCCAGCCACCCCTGCCAGTCATCCAACCCCGCCGCCTGGCCCTGAACGCACACAGCGGGAGGGGGACGAGCATGACGCGCCCGCAGAAATGCGCCGCCCGGCAGCAGCAGCAGCAGCGCTCAAGAAGCCCTAGCTTGTGCACCGCGTGCGCCTGTCCCCCTCTGCCCCTCTCCTCCTGTGTCCTCCCCTCTCCTCCTCGCACCCACCCTGCCAATGGTGGGGATGATGACCATGGCGGCGCCCGCCAGCATGGCGCCTGACGCGGGCCAGATGGCGGTGGGCAGGCGGTGGTGCAGCAGCAGGCGCTGGAAGAGCGCCACCCCGATCACGGTGAACATGTTGACCAGCTGGACTGCAGGGCAGGCGGGGGGACAGGCGGGGCGTGGCGGGGGACAGGCAGGGAGTGGCAGACGGGGACAGTTGAGCGACCGCCATGCAGGGCGAGGCTGGTTCTGCGAGACATTTGGTGGACGGGATGCATGCCAGGCGCCGCGGCGCGCAGGCGCACCCAGCGCGGGGTCCACAAAGCCGGGGGCGATGATCTGGCAGGTGTAGGCGGCGGCAAAGGAGACGGTGGTGACGGCCAGCGCGCCCCAGTACACCAGCTGCGGCCGCCCCTCGCCCAGGTCCCGCACCCGGCGCGACAGCCCCCGCTGCAGCGCCAGCTCGGGCCGCGGCGGCAGCGGCTGCCCGGGCCGCCGCACAAAGGTGCTGTCCTGGCGATGCCAGGTGGGGGCGGAGGGCTGCTGGACTGGGGAGGGGCGCAGGCCCGGGGCGGCAGCAGTACCGACCGCTGCGCCTGCGTCCGCCTGCTGCCCGCTGGCCTCATCTGCCTGCGCAGCTAAGTGACCGTCCTCTGCGACCCGGCCGCTGTCTATTTCCTGGGGGCAGGAGGTGCTGCCGTCGGCGCTGATGGGACAACATTTGGGCAGCGCAGGCTTGCCGCTGCCCTGCCGCCGCCGCCGCTGCTGCTCGCGGTCGCTCCGTCGCAGCCGCCCCGCCCTCAGCACCGCGCCTGTGACCCTCGCCGCAGCATCCACTATCGCCACGCTCACCAGCGCCAGCAGGCTGACCAGCAGCGCCAGCCGCAGGGCAGGCAGGGACGGCGAAGGCTTGACCTGCAGGGACGGCGGCGGAGCGGGTCGCGTTGCCTCCCGTCGCCAGGCACCATGCACCGTGCGCGGCATGCGCGTGCATGCTGCATCCCTGAGCCCGCAAAATGTTATGGGGGGGAGAATTGTGCAATTCTTGCATAAGACGCGCCGCCCCAAGGCAAACGCCTTTGCCAAGTCCCGCTACCTGCAACCAGCGATTGAGAACGCCGAAGAGCGCCACCAGTACATGAGCCAGTATGGCCACGCCCAGCCACAGCAGCAGGGGGCATCCCGCGTGCCCGCCTGGGCCCCCCGGCATCCTGCTGGGCCTGCAGCGCCTGTGGCAGCCCTGCCTGCTGCTGCTGCTGCTGCGTGCTGCAAAGCGATCAGGTAGAGCGATTGGCCCCAATTGCAATGTTGCAATCAATGTTGCAGCGCGCATGTCGTCGCCCGCCTGGCGCCGCCGGCAGAAGAACCGAACATTGATTATGATTCACAGTGCAATGCTGGCATGATCAGTGCTGAATGAATGAGAGAGAGTGTGCAGGGGAGGGAAAATCTGACACTGGTCCGGATAGGAAGGAGTCTGTGGAGGGCGAGCGCGCCCGGCGGGTCGGGAGGCGCCACCGCACAGGCCGCCCTAGTGCTGCTGCTGCTGCCGCTGCGCGCGCTCGGCCGCCAGGCGCATCGCCTTGCGCAGCTCGCGGCCGATGGCCTCTGCCAGCGGCGGCGGCACCGCGTTGCCCACCTGCTTGTACGCCTCTGTGATGGTGCCGTGGAAGGTGACGGCGTCGGGCACGCCCTGCACGCGCGCCGCCTCGCGCACCGTCAGCGGCCGGTCGGCGCTGGGGTGCACCGTGGTGGAGGTGGTCTTGGAGTTGAGCTTGGGGGAGGTGAGGCACGTGCCAAAGTGGGACAGCCACAGCAGGCGGCCAAACTGGCCGACGTTGGACGGCACCAGCTGCCGGCCCCGGAGCCGGTCGGGGATGAGGCAGGCAGGCAGGTCGCGCCTGCGGCGGCAGTGGTGGAAAGCGTGGGTGGGCAGCACGCGGCGCAGCTGTCTGGCAAGTGCCCAGGCGCTGCTCACCTCAGCGCAGCAAGCCTGGCCCACCTGCAGCCCCTCCCCCCGGCTCACCAGTCGCCGGCGCGGCGTGGCAGGAAGGGCTGCGCCGGCGGCCCCGCCCACGCCCCCTTGCTCAGCTCCCACCCCTCCTGGCCCTCCCTGGGCAGCGCCGCCAGCCGCTCTTGGCTCTCCTGCTTGTGGGGGGCAGAAGCGGCGGGGGCACCGAGGCAGTGGGAAGGAGAGCCGGGGGGCGATGGCGGCTTGGCGGCAGGCTGCTGCCCTCCCCACGGCTCAGCAGCGCGACTCCCGCTCCACCACCGGCTCCCGCTCCACCACACCTGCGACAGATTGGTGGTCTGGTGGTTGCGCAGCGCGTCGCCCGCGCCTGCCCCGCCCCGCATGCGAGTCGCATACCAGCCCAGCTCGCCGCCCGGCGCAGCCGCCGCGGCGGCCACGGCCGGGCAGGCGGGCACGCCATACGCTGCATCAGGCCCCGCCTGCTCCGGCAGGTCCCCGATCACTTCGGCGGCGGCCAGCGCCGGCAGCGGCGCATTGGTGGGCACCACCACGTTGCGGCGCCAGCAGCGCGGTACGGCGCGGTATGCCATCTCCCTACGGGCCTGCAGCCAGAGGGCAGGCGAGGCCAGGGCATGCCTCCGTGTGAGGCACGCTGGCAGCATGGGGGGCGCCAGCAGCAGCACTCGGACTAGCACTGCCATGCCGTCCCAGCCCAGGGGCACCCACCTCCAGGCTGCACTCCCCGGCCCTGCTGTACCCGCCTGCCCCCTGGAAGCAGGTGGTGGGCACCGGGTGGTGGGGGTGCGGCAGGCCGTGCAGCGACAGGAGGATGATGACGCGGCGGCGGTGCTGCAAAGGAGAGATGCGGGGAGGCGAGGGAGGCAGGCAGGCAGGCAGCCCGTTGGGAACATGGTTGTGGAGCCAGCGCAGAGGAAGCAAGAAGGCAGCTGGCCCACAGGCTGGTCCACGCTTAGGCCGCTAGCCCCTGCCACAACGCTGGCGCTTGCCTGCGCAGTGCCGAAGCAGCCGGCATTGAGCAGTCGGAATGAGGCCTGGTACCCCATGGATACGCAGCACTGCAGCACGCACTGCATCGTCTCCCCGGCTGCAGGATGGAGGCAGGCGGTGAGTGAGGCATTGGCATCACGCGGATCAGCGGTACCGCGCACAGTCGGCAGTCGGCTTTCCAGCAGGAGCATGCATCTGACTGAGGTCCAAGCAGGCCAGGCCACCCGCAACAACAGCAAGCGCCAGCCGCGGGGAACCAGCCCCACCAGACAGCAGGCCCGTGACGTTCTCAATGATGGCGTAGGGCCACCCCAGCTTGGACAGCGCTGTCAGGAAGGTGCACAGCTGCACACAGCACGGGAGAGGAACACGCATGTCAGGGAGGGCTGGAGGCGGAGCGGCATGCAGAGGGGCAGCAATGAGCCGCGCTCCTGCCTTCCTCTTCGCACCCAGCAGCCTTTCACCACCCACAACTCCTTTTTATATTCCTGCCTTCCTGCACCCACCCACCCTCCCACCCACCAGCACGTTCTTGAAAGCCTTGTCCTGCCGGTCCGCCATGCTGGCCTTGGAGAAGCCCTGCAGAGCGGGGCGGCCAGGTGACGGGCTGCGCTCGCGCGAATGATGGCCAGCTAGGTGATAGGCTGCCAGGCCTCGTGCTGGGCTATCTGAGGGGGCCAATGGTGAACAGCCAGCCCCGCATTTTACCTGGCATGGAGGGCCGCCCACCAGGATCCGCGGCGCGCTGCCGCCCAGGGCATCACCTCCGGGAGGGGCGCCGTGCTGGATGCTTTCCACAAACTCGCACACATCCGCGCAGGTGATGGTGGCGCCTGCGGAGCGAAAGGGCAGCGAGCACTGGCGCTGGGATGGCAGATGGCGGATGCACCTCACAGCTGTCCATGTTTGTTCATAAGCGGGACGCCATCTACCAGCCCTCCCGCCTGCGTGTTTGCATGTTAACACAACTCTGCTGCTGGTGCTGCAGCTTCGCCCCACCTGGGTGGCAGCCCGCATAAGTCTTCAATGCCGCCTCAAAGTTGTCGCACGCCCAGCCCACGCGAGAGCCCAGCAGCGCCCGCAGCAGCCCCAGCGTCAGCCCTCCAAAGCCGCAGAACAGGTCACACAGGAGGGGGCCATCAGCAGGCCCGTCAGCGCCGCCAACTCCTGCCTGCTGCTGCGGCTGCTGCTGCTGCGGCGGCCGTGGCTGCTGCGACGGCTGGGTGGAGCCAGGGGCTGCGACCGCGCCCGCCTGCTGAGCACAGCTGTCGGCCTCACTGCTGCTGCTGTCCCCGCTAGCGGTGCTCCCCGACATGAGAGTGGGGCCGTCGCTGCCATCCGGCGTCTGCCCGCCGCCGCCGCCGCGATCCGCGCCGCCTGTGCAGGCCCCAGGCGTACCGTCCGCCACCCCTCCGCCATCCTCCTCCACCACTATCTCCCGCGGCAGTGTCTCCGCATCAAACGGCCGCAGCCGGGTGGCCCTGCACGCCCCCGCCTCGACGCTGGGGCGGTACACAAAGCCGGCCGTGGTGGCGGTACGGCTGTACCGCTCGTACTGCACCATCACCTCTGCCGCCGCGCCGCCGTGGGGCATCTGCAGCGAGTCCTGGGAGTCGTCTGCCAGCTGGTAGAGGCGCTGGATGCGCACCTGCGGCAGGCAGCGCAGGGCAGCGTGGGCATGCCTGTGTGAGACTAAGAGAGCGTGCGACAGCATGTGGGGTTATGAGTCGAGGTGGTGGCTGGTGTGTGTCTTGTTGAGGAGGCCAGTGTGCAGCACAGGGAGCAGGGCACTAATGCCAGGGAAGGGCCAGGCAGGCCGCCAGCCACACACTCACCAGCTCCATCTGCTGATCCACAGCCCACTTGACAGCCGGCTCCAGCCAGGCGCGGTCGCCAGGCCTGAAGGCGGCGCCCCGGTGGGCCCAGCTGCCGTCGGGCGCAGGCGCCGCGCACGGCGCCGCCACGCGCTCGCCCACGCACCCACGATGCAGCATGCGGCGCGGGTCGCCGCCCCGCACAGCCCACGGGTTGAGGCAGGCGCAGCGGCAGGGGCAGCCGGAGGCAGCAAAGGTGGGGCAGCCAGGCTCCACTGCCAGCTGGTCGTGCGTGCCGTCTGCCGAGTAGAAGAGGCGTGGCGCGGGGCTGCGCGGCAGCACGCCCGCCTTGCCTTCCGCCCAGCGCCTCGCAAACTCCGACCACCGCACCGTGCCGTGCTCGCGCCGCAGCGTGAAGATGGCGTTCTGCTCGGCGTCTGCAGAGGCAGGAGGCCGCGCCAGGGACGGGGCGCACGGTCAGCGTGCCTTGTCTGCATGGCGGCTGGGCGGCATCAACCGAATCAAGCGCTGCAGCAGGCGCTGCTTCGACCCATCGCCTCCCTTCCCTCCAAGCTCACTGTGGATGGGGAAGTCTTGTGAGCGAGGTGGCTGGCCCGGCACCGTGACGGGCAGCCGCAGGCTTGTGGACAGCCCCTGCACGTGCCAGCTGCTGGTGTGCTTGGTCCTGCCCTCCTCCACCACCTTGCCACGCGCCGTGGCCGCAGCGCCGCCGCAGCCGCCGGCGCTGGCGTCGGTGCTGCAGCTGCGGATGATGGACCACTGCTTGCGCCCCGCGCTGTCCAGCCAGATGACATCGCCCGGGATGAGGCCCTGGGGCATGCCCAAGGCCGAGCCCTGCGGTACGCTGGGAAGCCTCTCAGCCCAGACCAGGGTGGGACCAGGGGAACGGGTGCAGGGGCATGACATGAAGGTGGCAGCATGAAGCAGCAGGCGCGCAGCCGCGCGCCCTGGCTTGCCAGCGCCTCCCGCCTGCTCACCTGCTGTGCCACACACTGCGGCTTCCCGCAACTCCCGCACACGACATCCACGGCGGTGCAGTTGCGCTTCCAAAAGATCTTGAAATCCGCCGCCCCCTGTGCCGACAGGCACGCGCCGCATGCACAGTGCCGTCCGCCGTCGTCGCGGCTGAGGCACACCGGGCACCGCAGCGTGCGCTGGCGCTTGCTGCTCCCGCTCCCTCTCGCGCCCGAGTTGCCGCCCACGCCGCCGCTTCCCTCCTTCTGCTCAAACTGCCTGGCGAAGCAGGCCCTGACGACAGTGGCGCACATATCCCAGGTGCGCTGGAAAGGGTCGGGGCCGCCGGCGCCTGCTGCCGGCGACGGCTGGGCGTCCTTCATTTCCTCATCACTCCATCCCGAATCAGGCAGGCTGCCCACCTGCGGCGCGCTGCCGACTCGCGGCGTGCTGCCACCGCCCTGCGCCGAGACCAGGGCCGCCTGCTCCTCCTGCCGCTGCGTCTGCAGGTCCTCCTGCCGCTGGCTCTCCAGCTCCTGCTGCACTTCCTCTTCCAAATCTGAATCGGCTGCTGTGTCTCCTGCTCCTGCTGCACAGGCAGGTGCTGCCACAATGCTGGCCTCATCTTCCGACTCCTCCTCCTCCCCCTTCTCCTCGCACGACTGCCACCCATCCTCCAATTCTGACTCTGAGTCTAGGCTGGGTCCGGGAGGCGGCGCAGCAGCAGGGGCGAGGATGGTGCTGCACGCTGTCGCCGCCGCTGGTGCCGCCGCTACCGCCGGGGCGCCGGCTGCCTCAGCCTGCTGCTGCAGCGCCGGGTCGGGCGGCGCCCCCGAGGGATGGCGCATAGCGCCAGAGGCTCGTCGGGACGCGCTCTGAGGTCGAGGGAGCGGCAGAGAGCGGGAGCCAAGCAACCGTTCAAAATGGGTTCAAACCGCAGAGAAAAAAGGGCGCTACGTCTTGGGCAACGAGAGAAGCTGCGGGCGATGCGGTCAATCGAGGTGGCATTGAATTTGATTGACTCACCTAGCGCGCTGCGCACGGTTTGCCGACCACCACCTAGGGCGGGATTGAAGCCACCACGCCATTCTAATCTGAAGAACTGTTTACAGGGCATACTTAGGCCAGCATAGACCATATTCTCGGCCAACATAGACAACTGATGTGCCAATATGAAAGGCTAGGAGGCTTCGTGGTTGGGCACTTGCCGCCATCGGGGCGGCACAAGGCAAGGGGAGGGCGGGCGGGGAAAGGAGAGTACATGTACAGAGCGGCTGGCAGGGTCACATCACACAAAGGGATGTCAAGGGGGTCATGAAAGGCTCTCAGGCACCAATGCGGCGCAAACAATAGGGGGAGGGCAAGTAGCCTGCCAGGGAGGTAACAATCGGGCTAGGAAGGGGAGGATGTTGGGCGCGTGGTTGTTGCGCAGTACAGTTAGGCAACAATAGAGGGAAGGGGGCAACAGGTGAGCAACTTAGGCGCACGCGTGGCGCGCTACAATTAGGCAACAATCAAGATAGAGGGAAGGGCAATAGGCAGTGCAGGGTCAAGGATTAGAGCGCAATGTGCGCGGGCTGTACAACATCTCAGGGTTTCTGTTTTGTTTGGTTATATATCAAGTCATTCTGTGGGCCAACGGTGCGCAGAGCACATTTTCAGCTCAGTGTGCCAGGGCGGCCACCAGGGCTCCCTCCTCGGCCTCCACCACGGCGGCGGCACGACGCTCCCGCCGCTGCTGGCGGGGGGAGGAGGTGGTGTGCTGGCGGCGCTGCTGCTCGCTCTCGAGGGTCAGGCGGCGGCGCTGCTCCTGGGCGGCGGGCTCCCAGGCCCAGCGCCGCACGCCCAGGCTCATGTCGATGGGCAGCAGGCGTGGGGCGGCCTCGACGCGCCGCAGCTGGCCGTCGGTGAGAGGGTGGCTCAGCACCGCGCCCAGCAGCTCCTCAAAGCGGGCGGGGGTCTGGGTGAGGCGGCCGCGCGCCACCAGCACCGCCCAGCTTTCTGTGAAGCGCAGCGCGAGCTGCAGCAAGGGAGGGAGAAGGGGAAGCGGTGAGGGGCAGGTGCGTCGGTGCCAGCTGTAGGTGTGGGGCTGGCGGCCGGCTGCTCAGCAGGCAGGCGGGCAGGCAGGCGGGCAGGCAGGTAGGCAGGCCAAGGCGCTGGGCTCACCTCCGCAGCC